ACAGCAGGCAAGCGGGAGTAGTACCCGGTGACTGTCTAGCAAACCACTTCCTATGTTCTCACTCACCAATGAGGTTTTCCGCACATCCCTCCGCACGTCATCCTGGTGCTTCCGTGGTTATGAGCAAAGTGAGTAAGCGCTCGCTGCTTACGGCGGAACACCTGGTCACAAACGCTACATCGCCACGATCCAAAGCCTAGGTTGACGAGTTGATCGGAAATGGAATCTTCTGCAGTGTTTGATTGAGAGTTTATCTCCTCGAGAGGCGATTCGAGCTCCGAACTTTCACTAGCAACGGGCGACGTAGAGACAGCATCGGCGGAGTCAGGCAGAACGGGGTTGATAATTTGAGGAGAGAAGTTTTCATTGATCGTTGTCCGTCGGAAGGATGGCTGGCCTGCACTGTTTAAATAATTTGGACTGCACATACCAAGCAGGCATTGGGAGCGATGTGCCCGCTCGATGTCTCCATAGGCAATAAACTATTTTCCATATATCGAATACTCTAGTGCTCTCCCTGCTACCGAAAAGGTTTATCTTTGGTAATTGCGGCCAGCTCAGTGATGGGCTTGACGCTCGTCAGCCGTGAGCTGACCCAAGTGTTCCTCCACTTGAATTCTTTGAACAATATTCGCGCACTCCTGGGGCAAAGTATTAGAGCAACGGGGTGCTACATTGTCGCTGTAGTATAGCGTGATGAGGCTGGTCCTCTGAATAGGGTGAACCGGTTCGATGGTTATTCCAAAGGTAGGTGGCCGCTCTTTGGAGATTCGGAGGCAAAGATAGATGATAAAGCTACTAATATCTTGCCATCCAGATAGCACAGAGGCCGGGCTTCGGAAGATCGCTTGAGAGAGGCCCACTACGCTTGCAGACATAGCACCTAGCACCTGTAGCACAAAGCTTGACAAACAACTACTGGAGGTTCGGTTGAATGCCCAATGAACCCAAAGGCTCGATCATGGTAGAGACTTCCGGTTCACTTGGTTAGTCAAATACTACGATCTAGTTCGCTTCATCAATGCAGGGCCGGGCTGATTTATGTAATAGGTCGGGTGTCCCAGCATCTATATGTCTTCTCAGTGGACTTAGCTGGATCTTCGTGGCAAGTTTTCCGTCTGTAGCTAGGCTGGGGGAAACACAAGGCGAACTCGATCCTCACCTTCGCGGTCTCATCGGTGGCGGGATTTGAGGTACGGAGCCAAGGGCTTGCGGAGGAGAATACATACGGGCCTCAAGATCTTGCACTACGATTGCTGCGTAGCCTTTCCCCAAATCTACTGGAAGGGGTACAGTCAGGAGATGTCGAAGCATCACTAGTGGAAAGGATCTAAACTCGCACTAAGCGACTGCTGAGTCGCATTATATTATCTGCAGGATTGACTTACTGAGTATTGACATAATGTTATGCTATAGTGTAGATTTTTTATAGCAGACTGCCTCCTATCTGTTCGATTCTTTGGATCCTAATAGATTGGAACTTGTAACAACAACGAATTAGGCCTATTCATTCTAGTATTGCTAGCTTTTCGGAAGTGTCACTCACATTGCTAAGCCACATCATCGGTTCACTCAATGATATGCGGGCTTTTTCAAATCGGCACGACAGGAACAAATAAGAGAATATTCTTTCCAGTGTGATTTGATGAGAATATATCTATCAGCAAAGTTAGCTGTGATAGTCGTGACATATCTCATCTTTATACTCGATTAGGATCCTTCTGCGTCTAATATCGATCATCCGCATACCTAATCCCATTAAATACGGCGATTTTGACCATTTCAGAGAATGCAGCTCATCTATTTTTCGCTTGACGCGGACTTAAGCCCGGGAGAGAATTCTATGACGCAGTAAGACAAGCCGTACGGTCGGTGCCAAACAAGGGCACCTATGATGTTTTGTTTACACAAGGCAGAGAAAGATATAGGCCATGATTCTAAACTCAATAACCATAAGTCTTCGATGAGCCAGTCGTATATGGTCTAGCTACCCTCCAACGTCGACCACTCATTTCAAAAGGTTTCAGAACCTAATCTATTCGTCGATTTATTCATTTTCGTGCTCTTTGTTCATCTTATGAAAAGTTTGAAGCTGATTCTTCGGGGCCACATCCGAGTTATGTTACGACACTGTGCACATTGATGCTTACAGGGTACGAAAAAGAGGCTAAATAGGGGGTCGGCATGTCGGGTTTTTTCGGGTAAAAACTACATAACCCTTCATCTGAAATGCTGACTAATTTTGTTCTGTATTAATAGCAGCCAAGCCCCTTTTATGACATAAATAAAGAGTGAAGCAATCAGAATTAGGTTAGTAATACTGTCCACTTTTGGGGCGAAAAAGGTGACATGCTGATTCACTATTTGGCCAGTTTTTCATAGTATGTAAGTCATCAATGCACGAGGTGCGATCATCCCAGCTGTGCATACCTCTTGCCAAGTACAGACTACTTAACGAATGATTGGTTTTGAATCACCGAGTAGATCATAAGATGTCAGTATGACACCCGACAGTTTCTTTAGATTTTTAACATGATCCTGCGTTCTTAATTCCGGGGTGGGGTCAGTGGCCAGCCCAGCCTTGAAGTCCTAGC